GAGGAGGTCGGTGTTCTGCTGGCGGAGGGCGACCTCGCCGAGGGCGCGGCGGGCCTCGAGCATCCCCGCGCGGAGCTGGGTCGCGGCGGCCTCGAGGTCCGCGAGATGGGCCTCGATCAGGCCCTGGCGCCGCTCGAGATGCCGGGCGGCTTCCTCGCCCGCGGCGAGCCGGCGATCCACCGCCGCGAGTTTCGCCGCCATCGTCCGCAGCCCCGAGTCCGGGCCGTCAGGGGGGGCCGCCGGGTCGTCCGGGGAGGGGGACGCGGGCGGGGTTTGGGACGGGGCCCGTAGCGCACGCGTGAGGGACACCGCGACCGCGTTGAGAAGCAGTCGATGCCGCACCAACATTTCCTTTCAAGGGTAAAAAGAAAATGGGGAAAGGAATCGGGATGAATAATACGCATCCAGAAGGGGAACCCTGACGACGACAACAACAACAAATGAGTAATTCGTCCATGGTAAAAAAAAAGGACTGGTCCCATCTTGACACCTCTGTTTTACTTTGTTAAGTTTATTAGTACACAGGAAGGAAAGTGGAAAAACGATACAATCACATCGTCCTATCTTATTCAGCCAAGTGTAGTTTGCCCTCTTTTGGGTTCAAAGCAGAATTTTAATCTTGGGCGTTGCTGCTAGCCCAACTTCATCTATTTCCGCGCGTGGAGCCCATAAAATAGAGTACGCGACGTCCGTTTAAATCGGGTTTATTGTTTAATTAATGTGCAAAGGTGTGGGTATGTGTATGGGTGTGCAAAAGTTGTCCAAGAATGCCATCCACACACAATGACCCGTCCATGAACACCTCGGCGGGCGGCATCAGACGTTCTTTGTTTCCTTTTCGTGGGTTGGGCTTGAGATAGAGGCATTGTCTTTCTCGATGCGGGCTAGTTTACCATCGAAGAAGCGGTGTCGTCCCGCGCGCCCAAGTCGCACGCCCCCACAGCGTTTAAACAGCTCGGAATCCGACATCGCGGTAATCGATATGTTTTTCCTTGGATGGTTGTCATCACTATCTCGGCTGCTCTCACTATCACTGGTTGATTTATCGGAGTCGGAGGAACTCCGACGTCGGATCTTTTTCGGTTGGTCAGGTAAATACTCCCCGTGTTGATGTTGGGTTTCCTTTTCCATGGGAGCACTTGTGAGGTGCGCATCCGGGCCGCTTGAGGTGGGCGCACCGCGTTTGGATTGGTTGGAATTCCCCGACGGCTTACGTTTGGTGATATGATCATAAATGGCATCCAACTCTACAGATTGGGTTGTGAGGGTGTGTGAAGCACCGCTAACACTCGGATCGGCCGCGTGGCCAAGCCCCGTCGCGGTGTGTGGATCACGGCGAACGACCTTCACGTAGCTTTTCACTCCCTCACGCTCTTTTCCGAGACCCTGGCCTTCCTTCCAGCCGTACTTTTCCATCATCTTACGCGCGGCAGACGACATTGTTGCCTTTTTTCAATGTTTTTTTCTACACCGCGTGTACACATTCAAAGTTGCAACCGCAGAACTTCACCAAAAAGGTCAAACCAGAGGAGTTGAAAAAAAAAATGAAGAAAAAGGAGTAAATTCAGTTCTTTCACACGACGAATAAGAGTACTATCTATATCAAGACCCTTTTTTCCGTGTGAAACCACAGGTCTAAAAGAGGGCTCTTAATATGGAAGGGTAAAAATGTTGTTTTTTATGGGACAGGTTATAAAAATCCCACTATGTGACACTCACATAGTGCGAGGAAAAAAAGATATAATATATAAAGATAGAGCTAAAATACAAATATCAATAAGACAGCGAAACTCTTCTTCCTCATCCACCAAAAATGAAAAAAAAAAAGGAAAACAAAGCTCATAGAAAGGAGAAAAGAGAGATAATCGAACAAAATTTTACTAATAATAACGATCCCTCTCCTCCTAAAAGAAATGCTATATCACTTTTAGGCTAAACTTATCTCTAGAGTTCATCTCTTTTTTTTACACACCAAAGGAAAAAGAGGTAATCTATGTACACAAAATGCAGACACTATGCATAGAGCCCTAGGAAAATCGGATGATCATAAATGCGTGCACATGTATCTTTATATAATATAAGATTTATTCCTTTTTTTCGATCGAGCCAAATAAAGGAAAAGAGATATTGACTAAAGTTTCTTTCTTTTTTTGAAACATAGAATATATATGGAAATCTTAATATCAATGATAATTATATGATGCCATATAACATCAGTATCTTATTGTTTACAAGCTCATATGCGAAAAGAAGGAAAGCTAACCACAGTACATCGCTTTCTTTGTCAAAACAATTCCGCATTTTTTAAGGTTAAACTACTGGTGATAACACCAATACACATGCTCACATGCATGTGATTCAACACCATTTACAATAACAAAAAGGGTAAATAGCGAATAATGATAACAACAGCAATATAGAACAAACCGTTGAAAAAAAAGCTAATATATTTACACCTTGATTACTTATAGGAATAAAAATAAATCAGTGATAATTATACTAGCAAGATAGCATAAAAAGAAGAAAACGACTACGACAGTGGGTAAATACGTGCGACTTTTATTATCTAAAGACGATGTACATGAGCTCAAGAAGATGCAATTGTGAATATGAGGGACTACTTTATTATATTGTCTTCTTTGCCCTTTTCACTATTCAGATTAAAATTCTTTTAATACTTTGAATATTTGCAAATTTGTGATTCAATGTCCACCTCTAAGTGTTTCCCTCTACTCGGTCTCTATTTTTCAATCTTTTAGCTATTTTAAGTATCATATGTATAGAACATTACATCCCGAAAAATAACTGTTCAGGAGGAGAATAACTATTAAAAAAAAGCCAGCTAACATATTTTTGTAGTTTTTTTTCTAGTATTTTTCCTATCTTGAACCTTTCGTATTTTTACACGTAAAAAAAGAATGCCACCGTTACGATTTATAGAAAATACTAGCCATCTATTACCAAAAGAGAGAAAAGGTTAAGATGGATAGCATGCCTAAGTAAAAGGCGACTTCGCTATATTGTATCTCCACACCGACTCTTTTTCTCTCTCTATAATCCGAGTAAAGAACGGTCATCTCCTTCCTCCCCTTTTTTTTTGTATGTGTCTGTCTAGGGGCTCAAACCGTCATTCGCACTTCACCCCTGAGATGCCCCCCATAGGATTGGTTGTCCCCATTCCCTTGCTAGGATTGCCCTCGACGTCGCCGTGCAGGACCCCGGCTGCCCCCCCTCCATTTCCATTCCCCATCCCCCCTCCCCCGCCGTTGTTGAGGATGGTCGCGGTGATGGGGTACAACACGGCGCTGGACAAAGACGTGTTCGTCGTGACGTTCGCGGAGGAGCCGTTGGGGTGGGCATTCGGGAAGGTGATGGTGGTGGTGGATTTATAACTTCGCGTTTCCCCCCCGGAGCACTCGGAGAAGGCGGAGTAATTGCTCGGGGCCACGTTCTTCCCGCTCCGGCTGCGCGGCCCGCGATTGCGGCCGCCTCGGCTTTCCGTCGTCCCGGGCTGCGGCTTCACCGCGAGCGGGTAGGCGACCTGCTGCGCGTTCGCAGCGCCGGCGTCGTCCTTGGCCGCCGAGGTGGGATTCCGCACCGCGGTGGTTTTCTTCCCCGGCCCGTTGTCAAGGAGGGTGGGAGGAGCCCCGGGGGCGGGAAGGGGGGCCCCGGGGGCGGGATTCCCCCCGCCCTGCCGGCCTAGGGTGATGTGCTCCAGATAATGCACCACCGTCGGCGTGCGGTTCGCGCCCTCGGCGGTGGTGGTGATGGCAGGGTTGAGGGTGGGGTGGTGGGTGAAGAAGTGCTGCGAGGGGTACTGGGTCTGCGGGGGCTGGGGGGGGGCGGTGTAGGCGCTATGCTGGGACGCCTGGTAGGGGTTCACCGGGCGAATCTCGCAGTCGTGGTAGTAGTTCGGGCTGTTCGCCGCCTGGCTGATGCGGCGCAGGGAGTCGTTCACCTCGGTATCGATTGTACTGCGGCCGTTGTTGTTGAGGGCGGCATTGCAGCTGCTGCTTCGACCCCCCCCAGGGGAGGTCCGCGGAAAGGCCCCGCGCAGACCCGCTTGCGGGGGGTACACCGCCCCTCCACCGCCGAGTGCCGGCGCCCCCCCGGGCGATGAGGGGCTGCCGAAGTTGGGGTGGTAGCTTTGGTTGATGTCCTGGACCACCATCGTGACCAGGCGGAGGTCCTCCACGAAGGTCGTGCTCAGGGAGGGCGCCACGGACAGACTGGCGTGGGCCGTCTTCGCGGTCCCGTTGGCCGGATGCCCGGTATGACTATAGCTTCCATTCCCGACAATCTGCATCTCCCGGCGAATGTCTTGGGCCAGGGTGTGGATGAGGTGGACGGATTTATCTAAGTCCTGCGTGAAGGTGGAGAGCTGGTACGCACCCGCTACGGAGGAAAAGCGCTTGCCCGGATCGGACGCGGCCGTGGTCGGGGGCGAGGCGTCGGGCTGCCCACGCTCCACCCGAATCGCCCCAATAGCGTGTGGGGCGGACAGGACGCCGTGGTTTGAGTATCCCCGCGGGAAGGCTTCTAGACCGGCGCTGCGGCTGAGCGCTGGAGGCATGGAAGAGCGGAGGGTAGCCGCTTGAAATTCCTTCTGCAGCTCTATATCGAACATATCCAGTTCACTCGCTAAAGAAGATTCATCCAATGGCTCCGTATTATTATCAAGGACGGTATCAGCGTCCAGTCCGTCGACTTTTTCACCTTTACGGCCATTAAAAGACGGCTGCTGAGATTCCGTGGCTGGCACCGCGTGGTGCGAGGGCGGACCTATAGGAGAACCAGGGCCCCCCGTCAACAGAGGACTCCCGCCTGAATTCTCGGTCATATCCATTTACTCTTTTTTTTTTAACACCCCACCACGATGTATAAACTATATAGATATACACTGTTCTCACAAGTTTACCCTCTGCTAAAGTAATCCCAACTTTCACTGTATTTGCACGTACTTGTGGTTACAAAAAATTCTGTTTACCGCTATTATACGACGCAAAATAACAAGTTGAGCCTCCCTAAAGGTCTGATAAAGGGAATAAAGGCAGGGATTCTGATGGAAATACTTTTACTTGGAGTAGTATATATTTGGTCCTTTGTCCTTTATTCAAAGGAAAAAGAATACCCTCTGAGCTGTAATGAGCAGATGGAACAGTTTGAAAAATATATATATAAACAGCTAAAAACGGAGGAGCACCGTTTGTTAGGAACAACAATTAAATGCTAATACAATGGGACAAGAAAGTAAATAAAAGGAAAGAATATCACCTTATTTTACACTTCGTATGTGGGATATCCTTTTGCCCTTTTTTCACTCTTTCTCGGTTGCAGGACTTTGTTTTGGCTATATAGGCAAAATGAGTATGAATAAAAAAATTCTAAAAAAGGAACTTAATACCACTGGATCAGGGTGGTAATATGTATATAAAGGCCGGGTTGCTAAATAGATTGTACAAAGGAAAGGTGGGCTTGCTTCCCTTTATTTTTTAAGTGATACAAAAAGTCAATGTTAAGGGAAAACGATCTCCTTTTTTCTTGGTCTGAGGCTTTGTTACGCCTTTATGATACTATCCTCCTTTCACCTTTCTATGTGGTACGCTTGTTTTTACAAATAAATATATATAGCTCAAATCTCTCTTTTAAGCTTTTATGACGCAGAAACTAAATGATATCCCACTTTTTTGATCACTGTTTTTTTCTTTTAAAAACAAAACAGTAGCGTGCAGCAGCGGGGATGCACAGGAGGTGACAAATGTAAGTACGAATTCAGGAAAAGAGACGAATAACAGACAATCTAAAAAATGAGTGAATCAACGAATCAATATTCTTTCTCAAACCTCACTCTTTAGATTGTTGTTTGTTTTTGCCTTCCTTTTGCTAATTGGTCCTCTATATAGAATATATATGCTGTTATTAGTATATTTTATGCAAATTTAGCTTTATCTTTGTGTGCTTTTAAATCTTAATATTTCCTACACTGTGTGAAATAAAGGAGAAAACGGAAAAGTATAGGTCACAAGAAACAGTTTGTATTTTGACACCTTTTACTGGATATTGTAAGAAGCATATTTCAAAAGAAACTGAGCCAAACAGACTGCACCGAAAAGGGCCAGGCTGGTGTGGCTATTTTAGTTCTTTCACGAGTTTTATACTGCAAAATCGGATCACCGGGAAAGCAACAATAGCCAAAAGACTTACTGAGATGACTAAATTGACAACCTTTTTTTTTTACTCGATCACATATATATATATATATATATATATCCACCGATTAGCTAGGACAAAGATCTTCATCCCAGGTTAGGGCATTACCCATAGATACCTCTGCGTGATCAGCTTTATTTAGATCCCACGCGTCGCTTTCTATCCTTTCCCTTTTAAAACCTCTCATCACCATTGCTGCGGATGTCACTGTGCTAAAAGGAGGGTTGAAGGCACCTGGTACAGTGTGAACCTGTAGGGGCTCTGCAGGATGGAGATGAAGTGCAGACAAAAGAGCAGATGTTGTAGGGGCTCCTAAAATTGTTTCTACGTTTTTCGATTCCACTTCTTGGTGTTCCTTAAAATTTTTTTCTTGATGGTTCCAATCCTCAATAAATTTGTTCAGATCAAAAAAAACACTTTGAGAAGGGTCGAGTGCGGTGGGTGGATCCCCTGGAGGATTACGGCACGAAGTTGAACCACACCTATTGCGGCTTACATGGGGATGTGAGGCTTTAAGGACCTCCACCCACAGAGGATGGCGTTGAATACGGTGCTTCCCCGCGAAGTCAGGGGATTTGGTCTTTAATTTTTCCACATAAGGGGAGGAAATAGGACTAGATGCATCCCACGCCACTTCACCCTCCCCTCCATCGTGCACGCGCGAAACCGATATATCAAAGAAGTCAATAAAGCCTTTTCCCTTGCTGCACTTATCCAGTGCCGTAAAGTTGGTGAAGACGACATTCCCAGAGCCATTGGATAGATTATCACGGTGTGGGACTTTTGCTTGGAAAAAGCAGTGCAGATGCGCTGCAAACCAGTGCTGGGGTTGTGCGAGTCGTAGCAATTCCAAGGTGTGCGGGTTACCAAGCACGTTGCGCATTACTTCGTCTTTAAAGTAGGGTTTATAGCGAAGCAATTGGGCCTCATCTCCGTACTTTGTTATGCCTGCTGGCCAGTCATGCGAGAGCATCACATCCACCTTCAGTGGGTAGGAGGACCTTGTAAAAGCGAAGTTTACGCCTGAAGAGGTGTTGTTTTCTACGTTTGTCGTGTCGGCATCCTGAGGTTTCGATTGAACCATCACGTTTTGGGGTGGATTCTTCCTCAACTCCCTCTCTTTGCGTAGTATACTAATAAAAGCTTGAAGCTTTTCAACTTCAATGCGGCGAACGTGATACGCAGAGCGCTTAGCGGATTCCTGACTCCAATACGGTCGAGAGGGATATGAGTGATGGTAGTCCATGTCCTTAAAGATACCGCTTAGGCCAGCTATACAGAGTATACCATCTACGACAATAACACCTGAGTGACCTAAATAATAAATGTTTGGCGCCACAAACCCTCCGTAGCTTTCTTCAGCAAGCCAATCAGAGTTTTCGTGATTCCCTCCGATAAAAATCGTCAAATAGGGTGCTTGACGGTACTGTCGAAAACTCTGTCCTTGACGTTGCTGCTTACTTGCGTTTTCGTTTGTTGTCACTTGAGGCGCGGTAGCGGAAGGATCCATGTAGTACAAAACGAAATCCCCAACAGTTTTGTACTTATCAGGGACTGCCATGCTTTTCATATCCGCTTCGTTGCGTACGCACTGAAAATCACCACAGCAAATTAAGAGATCAATCTTTTTACCCGTTTGCTGCTCATGATCATGACAAGCGGCGTAAATACGGTTGAGCTCACCATGGCAGCAGCCTTGTACTGCTACGTGAAAGGTTTTAGTTGGGACTGTAGCAGTCGGGCTTCTCTCAGAGGACTTTTTTACAAGCCCCTTTTCTCGCGCAGTAAAGAATCGATGAAGGGTAGACATAGTTTCATCAATAGATACCTTCCTTCCTTTTGTCAGTTCTTTTTTATATCTTCGCTTCCAGAACAATCGTCAGTTCAATGGAAATGAACACGAAGCGCTAATTGTTTCGAACCCACAGACGATGCCAGTATAGAATTTGGTCACCGTAGAGGATCTTCTGTGAATTAAGATTATCTTATTATTCTCGAGAGTAATTTATTCTAAAATAAGAGAGTGGTAATAGACATGAAGGTGTAGTTAGCACATGTGCGCAAACCTGTATTAGACAATACTTTTCAATTTACACCAGAAACTACAATTCCGATGTTCCATAATTTTAATCCAAACATCTTTTTTAATCTCACATGAAGCCTGACCTATGTTTCAAATAAGACAACAGAAGAGGAAGGTAGTCAGACATTTAAGATTGCCACTTATTCAGTTCAGCATTTCCTGTGACGAATGTTCTTCTCATTCTCTCTTTCTTAACTCCAGCACTAGCTGAAACTATTCTTCTTGAAATATTCATTTTCAAGCTGTTTTAATAAGCCAGGAAAGTGAGTAGCCTCATAGGCGTCTGGACAGCCTCCACCTATCCATCGCACAACCCCTTCATGGTCTACCAGCATTGCATAAGGGCATAGATAATTGCGCAAACCCAAGGACGAATTAAACGGCTCCAGTATCTTACTCCCCACAAAGGTTGTGGATGCCAGCAGTGCATTGTTTATTATTGTTGCTTCTTTGTGATGATCTCTTTTCGTGTCCAGGCCTTTCGTTTCCTTAGTCCTTTCGTTTGTTTGTTTATTCAACGACAGAGATCGTGCAAAGCTCCGTACGTAGAGACTGTGCACCCACTTATATGTGTATAAGTCCATGCTACGCAGGGATACAACGTCGATGGACATCCTACGGTGTGTTGTTGTTGTGGAATGAGGAGGAGAAGATTTCCATTCGGGAGAACCCTTCGCGGTGTTCGTGTTTGGCTCCTCGATCTTCGGGATGTACGCCAGAAGGGCTGGGCAAATCGTGTGGTAGGCCAGGCGCCTCCACATCAGGTCGGCAATCGAGCCGAACTTCTGCCCGAGCTGTGAATAAATCACGAGCGCGGGCCGGCGGAAGGACTTCGCGGAGAGCGCGGTGAACAACGACGAGTCTTTTTCTGAAAAACTCTTCGGCACGTCGCGCGCCGTGGTGGCGGCGTCGGTAATCGGAAAGAATCCACTAAATAAGGATTGCGAGAGGCTCGGCCGGAGGGTGTTGAGCAGCACTTGGCAGACCTCGGCGTCAAAGTTCTGGCAGAACTGGTTCATGTTCGCGCACAAGACCCTCGGAAAGATCGGCTGCGACGGAAGTAACTCTGCATTACTCGCCTTAGCGGGGTAAGCACCAGGACCGTTATCAATCTTTGCATAGTTGATTACATGAGGTTGGGCAGACTTCGGATCGAATGCCCATGCGGCATTTTCCTCACTCACGCAGTTGTTTGGTTTTGAAAAGACTGAGGATAGAGGTGTGAGTCCTTTTTTTTGTGGCCGCGATAGCGTCGACGGGCCGCGCATAAGTTTACTGTCCTCGATAATCTTTAGCTCATTTAAGGCGTTCTCATTGAAATAACGCAACATTCGCTCTAACTCATTATCGATGGCGAACTCAGCGCCATAGTAGAAGTATTTGAATATCAAAAACACGTCGCGCGAGAGGATAGGTTTGTCTAATTCCATCCCCACATTTCGGAAGACGAGCATCCGTTTGCGTTCCTCTCGAACCTTCTGCTGGATTTTTTGTCGGCGAGCCTCGGTGGCCGCATCGTATGTTGGGAACGAGGGAAGGTGTCTTTTAGCTTCCATTTGTTTTAGCCTCTCAATGAAGAGATTACGCGTGGCCGCTGTTTTTTTTTCCGATCCCTCCTCGTTGTTTTGATGCGGCCCGCTACCGAAAGTGGTATGGTCTGAAGAGGAATCCGCACCGGACTCCGGTGTTTCCTTTGGATCATTTTCGACTGTCTTTAGAACTTGATGAGTTGACGTCTCCATCGCTGAAGAGTTAAGGTCCATTTCAATTATACACTTACCGTATCGCCGTGGAGAGGCCGGTGGTACCTGTCCATCGCTTTGCGCTTCCTTTTCATTATAGCTCTTTTGCATTTGACGAAGCAGAACGACGGGATCATCGCTTTCCTCCATGCATGTGGTTCCGATTTTGGTGTAGTTTGTCGATACTCCGCGCGTTGCGCAGTGAAAGGAGCTGAAGTGAGATGGAAAGTACGGGTGAGGCAATCGCCTAGAATGCGAGACCATCCGGGGCCGCAGCGGAGAAAACGGAAAATGATGACAAACTTTGGCTAACATTGCATCTCAGCATACTTATCTAAAGGAATACTAGTGGTGGTGATGTGCGTAGATGGATAAATAAAGTATATTATACGGCATATCTTTTCATTAAGCAGAAGCTTTTTCAACGGGCATGTATCCTCCCATTTGTTTTATAATGATAACAGATAGATTATAGTGGTTGTGTGCATAAAGTTAACGATATGTGGAATTGTAAATTAATAAGAATAGGAATCTTTT